GATAAATGACTACTCTGGTCTACATAGTGAGGTTCAGTTCAGCTGGGGCTACAGGAAGACTCTGTCTCAAAAAAAACAAAAAAAAAAAAAAAAAAAAAAAGACATCTTTAAAAAGAGCTAACGGGATGTAGAGATGGAGAGTCATTAAGAGCATATGCTGCTCTTGAAGAGGAGCTGAGTTCAGTTTCCAGCACCCATATTTCCTAGGTCACAACTACCTGTAACTCCACCTCCAGATCTGATCCCTCTGGCATCCTCAGGTACACACGTACACACATACACACACACACACACACACACACACACACACACAATTTAAAATATAGAAATCTTTTTTTAAAGGAACTAAAAAAATACTTTTCTAAATCTCTGTTGATAATGCAAAACAGCAGCAAGGCTGACTGGGTTCAACTGGAAGGCTCAATGAGCCTGGTAGATTAGTGAGGCAGCCCGCTGCAGGTCCAAGGAGATCCAGATTCAGCACCAACTCCAACAGTCTGTCCCTATCTACCTGAATTAGTTACTTCTGCTAAGTTTTAAGAGACTGACATCCCCCACCTAAAATGTGGGCAATTTGGACTAGAGGACCTTCAGTTATAGGATGCTACAAATCAGGAAACAGCTCTGCACAGGGGTACATGCCTTTAATTCCAGCACTCCAGAGGCAGAGGCAGGCAGATCTCTGTGAGTTCAAGGTCAGCCTGGTCTACAAAGCAAGTTCTAGGCCAGCTGAAGCTAAAAGGAGATCCTGTCTCAAAAAAAAAAAACTTAATCAGGAAATAGGAAAGGTAACCTTGAAGCCTTGGATTCAGATAGGCAATGATTTCAGCAGTAGGCTCAAAGGAAGAGCAGAATTTCCCCAGGGTCTGGCAGGGCTTAAGTTTTCTTTGTTTTTCATCTCAGAGACATAACTATGAACTCCTTGGATAAAGAGGCCATTTCCTCCCAGGTAGAGGTGACTGCAGATATAAGGCCTTGGCTCTGTGCCAGCGTCTTCAAAACTAACTCAATAGAGGACTATAGGCTGAGGAGCATTTCTGAAAATAAGGAAAATTCTTTTAGCACCTGATTGACAGTCCTGTGATCAAAGGGAAAATTGCAACCACCAAACACCTCAGAAGTCACACATTAGCAATAAAAGCTGAGACCAGACACTAAACAGCTCAGAAGGTACTTAGCACACCTCTGATGCATCCAGGATTAGGAATGCCCTTCCTCCCAAGTAAATTAAAATCTGCCAACATCCATCAGCAACTCTCACAGAAGCGCAGTTATGGGAAAAAAGAAAGAAGGTAGTTATTTAAGAAACAGAAGTATTACTACAGAGTCTCACAGGAAGTAATATACAAATACACTGGAAGGGATCCACTTGAGGCCAGCTGTTTTTAATAACCAGTTTCCTCTCTCTTGCCCATCTATCAAGAAAATAGACAACTTCAACCAGAGGATGAGCATGTATCCTACTCAAAGTATGAACCAGCCGCTGATCCTCCCACACAAAACAAGGCCCCAGACAGGGATACAGCCTCAGTTCAGCTTCTGATACCAAACCAGAAACAAGAGCCTGCCTGCACATAAAGCATGAACTCCGAAGTGCGAAAGACTGGCAAGGCCTGCCCACACTTCAGGCAGACATTTTTTTGATCTCATAACACAGACTGACCTCAAACTGGCGACCCTCCTGCCTCAGCCTCCCCAAACCAGGGGTACGCTATCACCCTTAGGAGACACACTTTCAAAACATAAAAGCAGATAGTACATGTAAACAGAGAATGTGGTCACAGCAGAGAACACATGGGGGGGGGTTCCTGTAGGGTGGTCACAGCTTTTTGAGCCCCTAATTTGACCCAGCCTAGATAGAACGAGGGAAGCTTAGTGTAGCTTGCAGGGTGGGAGGGGTCAGGAACTACCGCCGGCCTATTACCAGTGAGGTTAGGGTGTGGGTCAAAGGAGCAACCCGCTCACACCCTACGCCGTTCACACCCTACTCCGCCTGCACCTGCAACTAGAAGCTCTCACCCCATCTCCATAGCGGAGGCCTGGACCATATCATCCAGCTGGGTCAGGGCCTGACCGGTCATCAAAGTAGACCCTACTTCGTCTGCATCTGAATTGAGCCACCTCATTCCCTTGCACTTCTGATGTGTCAAATAGACCCTTGGGTTCTTTCATCAAAGGCTTATGATCCTCCCAAAGTGGTCCAACGGGTTATGATCCGTCTCCCACAGACCCGGTTCCCACATCAGTCGGGCGCCGGGGATGAGTCCGCCGGCTGGGACCGACTTCAGAGCCCTGTCTGGGGCTGGAGCTTTGCAGGGCCCAGCCCACCGTCCACTGGAGTCTCGGACCCTAGGGGAACCAGGCCACGTGAGCCGCGCTCTCCCAGGACCATGCTCTGGGGCCTGCGCCTGCACAGGCCCTGCACCCGCCCTCTGCAGCCGGCTCCGGCCTCCTGAGTCCGCCACGCGCAGAGCCTGCGCGCGCCGCAGGGTCACGCGGGGCCACCTCCGGCAAGCGCGCGGTGCACCTGCGGCCCGGGCCCCACAGCGCCTCCCCGCGCACCAGCCGCGCGCCCCGGTTGCGGCTGCCTCCCCGGCCGGGCCGCGCGCTCACCAGCGGTAGCAGCCTTCCGAAGCTTCCAGAGTGAAGTTCACGCGCGTGGCCCGCGTGAAGGGCAAGAGCACTTTGGGAATGTTGAGCTTGGCAGCCGGCGCCAGCGGCACCAGGAGCACCCAGAGCGCCAGCAGCACCCGCTGAGCCCGCGCCATCCTCGCGGCCTCGCCTCGCGCCCCGGCGCGCACCCGGTCCACTGCCCGCGCGCCCCCGAGCCTGGGCCGGCAGGTGGCCGCGGTGGGCGGGGCGAGCGCGGGAGCCAAGGCTGCTCGGCGGGAGGGGGCGGGCCGCGGGGGAAGCTGAGCGCGCTCCCGCCAGCGCTCGGAGTGCGCGCCGGGCCCTGAGCCCTGGTCCAACCCGAAGTTCTTCCCGCGTGGCCCCTTCCGTCCCGCACTCGTTTCCAATGCCCTGACCACTGCTCAAAGCCGCACACCCCAGGGCATCTAGGACCGCCCACTGCGCCCTCCTCGCAGCCCGCATTTCCCAGACTCAGCAAAGGAAGGTCACCTGCTGGAGCGCCACGGGCTCGGCCTCCGCTTCAGCCTCCTTCCAAAGGGGCCAAGGAGGTGTTAGGGTTCCCATTTCCCCAAAAGGAAACGTCCACCCGCTGGGCAGCGCTGGGGGCTTTCTGATCCCCAAGACTGTGCACTACACTGGGTCTTTGGGAAGCCCTAACAGAGTTACCCCAAAGGTCAGAGTTAGGGCGCAATACTACCAAAACACACCCTACCCTGAAAGAAACCGCAGTGTCCTGAACTCATCTGCCACGGCTCAAGTTGAGCCTGCATTTTGTGCTCCAGCTCGTGCTTATTGTGAATTGGATGAAGTGAGGTCTGTAGAAACATGTGCGTCCCAGTGCCTCTAAAGCGTTCAGCAGGGGAAGGCCCAGTGGGAGGTCTTGAAAGGGGCGGGCCGGGGTGCAGGCCCTACTTGTGTGAGGTCAACAGGAAGTGTGTGTGTGTGTGTGTGTGTGTGTGTGTGTGTGTGTGTGTGCAGTCTGACTGAGGAAGGCTTCCTGGAGGAGGCTTTCGGATGGAAGGAGGGGCATGGAAGGAGGAGAAATTTCCCTAGCGCTCTCAGCCTCCTGGAAGAGGATGTGGAAACCAGGTGCTCTGGGAGAAGTACCAACGGTTCCTTTGAAGGAAAAAATGAGAGAACAGCTTAGAAAAGGCAGCCCCAGGCATCCCGAGGGAGTCTGTCGGGCGTTCTTGATTATACTTGTCCCTTAAATTTCCAGTGTTGGAGATGACACTGGGGCCTTTAATGATTTGTTTTTGAGCAGATACTGCAGTCAGGTGGCTCAAACTAAAAGGTTCAAGGGAATTCATGGTGAAAGAGATCCACTTTTCCATCCTTCCATTCTTCCATTATCCCATCCCTTCCAGTTGGCAGCCAGTGTCTTCCAGAGTATGTACTGGGGTAAGTTTTAGAGAAGAGTTATGCAAATGCGTGAGCTTGCAGTCATAACTGGTGCCAGATAACCAAACATAAAAAGGGACCCACCTGGTCCACTGAGATTAGAGAGGCCTTCTGACTATCAAGAAGTGTCAGTGACATAGGTTATGTTTATTAAAATTGTTATTACCTTTATTTCTGTCTGTGTGTATCTGTCTGTGCCTGAATGCACACGTGGAGGTCAGAGTTCTCTCCTTCCACCATTTGAGTCCTGGTGATCAAACTCAAGTCATCAGGCTAGGCAGCAAGCACCCCTTACCTACTGAGCCCTCTTGGCAGCCCCGGTAACAGATTTTGTTGTTGTTTCTGTATTTGGGGGGGGGTTGTTGTTTTGTTTTGTTTTGTTGAGATTGGGTCTCCCTATAATCCCAGCTGGCCTGGAACTTGCTATATAGACCAGGTTGACCTCAATCTCACAGAGATCTACCTGCCTCTATCTATCTCTCTAGTTCTGGGATCACAGGTATAGGCCACCACACCTGGTCCAGTAACAGATTTTATTTATTTATTTATGGTCTTTTTTTGAGACAGGATCTCTCTGTAGCCCCAGTTAGCCTGGAACTTGCTATGTAGACCAGGCTGGCCTTGAACTCACACAAATCCTCCTGCCTCTGCCGCCCAAATGCTGGAATTAAAGGCATGTGCCACTATGCCTGGCTCCAGTAACAGATTTTTGAGAGAACAGCATGGTTGTAGATGATGGTTACAAATTAATTTTTTTTAATACAACCTTGGGGCTGGAGAGATGGCTGAGTTAGGAGCACTAGCTGCTCTTGCACAGGACCTGTGTTCAGTTCTCAGCTTGTGGCAGCTAACAACAGTCTACAACTCCAGTTTCAGGGGATCCGTCACACTCTGTGAGCACTGCATGCATGTGGTACGTTTATATACATGCAAGCAAATCATTCATACACATAAAAATAAATAAATCTTAAAAATAAATACAACTGGGCTGGAGAGATGGCTCAGCAGTTAAGAACACTGATTGTTTTTGCAGAAGACCTGGGTTCGAATCCCAGCACCCACATGGCAGCTAACAACTGTCTGTAACTCCAGTTCCAGGGGATCCAACAGCCTCTTCTGTCCTCTGCAGGCATTACATGACACGGGTGCACTTACTTACATGCAGGCATAACACTCATACACATAAAATAAAAATAATAAATAAAATCTTAAAAGTAGCCCAGGCGTGGTGGCGCATGCCTTTAATCCCAGCACTCGGGAGGCAGAGGCAGGTGGATCTCGGGGAGTTCGAGGCCAGCCTAGTCTACATAGTGAGTTCCAGGACAGCTGGGGCTAAAGGGAGCCCCTGTCTCAAAAAGTCCAAAAAAAAAAAAAAATTAAAAATAAATAAATAAATACCACTTTATCACAGACCAATGAAAACTGATATTCACGTGCCCCAAGCATAATTCATAAATTAAACCAAAACTGGAAGCAGCATAGAGGTCCTTTAACAGATGAGCCAACCATGGCATATTTGTCATGTGAAATATTATTCAACAATAAAAAGGAATGCACAGTTGACTTATCTGACAACTTGAATGAATCTCCAGGGAACTGTGCTGGGGGGAAAAAAAGGAAGAGAACAGTTTCTAAAAAAGGTAACTGATGGGACTGGAGAGATGGCTCAGCAGTTAAGAACACTGGCTGCTCTTGCAGAGGACCCGGGTTAGATTCTCAGCACCCACATGGCAGCTAACAACCATCTATAACTCCAGTTCCAAGAGGATCTGACGATCTCTTCTGACCTCTGCAGGCATTGCACAACATGGATGCACTTATTCACATGTAGGCAATACACTCATACACATAAAATAAAAATAATAAATAAAAAATTTATATTTAAATAAAGGTAACCGATTTGGTTTGGGAGTGGTCAGATTTTTTCCCAGAGTCCATCCTGATTGGTCTCCAGGGTGGCAATACTGGAAAGTTCTATTGATCTTTACAAGGTAGAACCTAGTGGGAGGCCTTTGGGTCTTTGGGGTCATACCCTCAGAAGGAATGAGGGGACTCAGATTTCCCTTTCTATTCACTGACTGGAGCTGTAACTTCTCATTCTGACATGTTCCCATCATTGCCATCTGTCATTTACCAAAAGGTCTTTGCTGAAACTGAGCCAGTGCAGTGCATGCCCTTAAACTTTTGTAACGGTGAGCTAAAATAACCCTTTCCTCTTTATAACATTAGTTGACTGGGGTATTCTGTTGTAGTAACATAAAGCTGACTAATATAGCTACATACTATACAGTTTTATTCATATTTTATTCTTTAAATTTTTATTACATGTATTTATTTATTTTATGTATGTGGAGTTCAGAGAATAACTTTTACCAGTCAGTACTAGCCTTCTACCATGTGGGTCCCAGGGACAGAACTCAAGTCATCAGACTTGGAAGCAAGTGCCTTTACCCACTCACCATCTCACTAGCCCTTTCATAGAATATTCTTGAAATGGCAAAATTATAGGAAAGGCAAATAGATGAGTGATTGCCAGGGTTAGGGAAGAAGTAGGGCTTTAGCCAACATGACTGGTCTCAGAAGTAAAGGGAATGCCGGGCATCTTGACTTCATTGAGGGTGACCCCTGGTTTTACAAGATGTTACAGTTAGGGAAACAGGTAGGATACCTGAGACCTCTCTGTTATTTCTTAGAACTGTATGTGAATCTACAACTATCTCAAAAACTAAAAATAAAGAGTTTCATTTGGGCTTGGTGACACCCACTCAGGATCCCAGGATTGTGATTTCCAGCTGGAGCCACATATTAAGGCCTTCATCCCAATGCAATCAAAAAGCAAATATACAAACCGGCTGTTCTAGTTTGCTTCCCATTGCTGTGATAAAGCACTGACCAAAACCAACTTGGGGAGGAAAGGATTTATTTGACTTAGTTTACAGTCCACCATGGAGGGAAGTCAAGGCAGGAGCCTGGAACAGGAGCTGAAGCAGAGACCCTGAAGGAATGCTGCCTAACCAGCTTGCTCAGCTGCCTTTCTTATATAGCCCAGACCCACCTGCCAGGAATGGCACTGCCCACAGTGGCCTGAGGCCTCCCACATCAATTAACAATCAAGAAAGTGTCCACAGACAAGGCCACAGGTCAATCTGATGGAGAAAATTCCTCATTTGAGGGTCCCTCTTTCCAGGTGTCCCTAGTTTGTGTCAAGATGACAAAAACTAACCAGCACAGCATGTCTGAGTGTCACAACTGGCTAACTGGGTCTGCCTGTTAGGTGACCAGGACATTTTCCTAGTCAAAAACAACCACTGGAAAACAGCAAATTTTGAGGTTTTATCTTTCATGTTGTACTTAATCTTGTGCCCCTCACAGAGTTTTTTCACAAACCTGGTAAAGAATGTTGTCTGGGGCCCATGGGTAAGGAACCAGGCTTCCCTCTCTGCAGGGGTCTCTCTTGCCATTGACCCTCTCTCTCTGACCCATCTGAGACTCAGGGAGGCTGCTCCAGACAGAAAGCAGCCTAAGTGGACCCTGTCCCACCCTCACTGCCTAGATCCCCAGGGGCAGTAGAAACCACAGATTTGTGCAAGGACACTTTGTCAACCTGATAAATAAAATAAGAAAACATTTCCTGTCACTTGTTATCAGTTCCTCCCAAACTTCTGTCGTTTCTTTAACACCCTAAAAAAATTTTTTGCAGTATCTGAGCACCACCTGCACTGTTATTTCCTATTTG